TTGAAGACTCAACAAATGAATAATGATCTAGAAAAATTAACGCATGAGCTTGAGAAGATAGGATTAAATAAAGAGCGACTCTTACATGATGAGCAAAGTACTGATGACAGGTAAGTATTAAATTTATTACACAATTACGCATACAAGCAAAAAAGTAGAGTAAACCATCTAGCGGCCCTAACTAACCTTGTTAAATGGATGGGCCCTTTCTGCTATTTGGCATCTTTTCCCAAACCTTCATTCATAAAATTAGTTAACGTTAATTGAGTTCGTATTTGCTGATCATTAAACATCAATGAAATAACAGTGCTTCAGCTGAGCTTTGAAGCATGAGAAAAATTTGCAAGGTAGAAACAATGAAGAAAGGCATTCCATAAAAGCACAAAGTTATACTGAACAATTCATAAGCAGACATTGAAGGTAGATTAGAAGAGGCAAACTTGGAGGCACAGAGACTAGTTAGGAAGCTGTTAGAATAGTGTCGGCAAGACATGATATGCATGTTTTCATAATGAAAGCATTAGACATGGAAATAAGGGAATATACTGAACTAAAACTTTCAGGAAATGGAATTGAAGCACTTAAAAATTATGATTGTGTCTGTGGGATCAGGAAGTCATTTAAGCCACTAAAACAGTTATTTCTAGGCCAGTAAGTTAGCCTTAATACCACAAAGAAAATAAAAGCTCATAAACACAAATTCCTTTAACATTCCTTGCCCTCCGTTTTGGAATTTGTGTATATCTGCATCTCCAGACAGATGGGGTCCTCTAATTTCAGATGTGTCCCTAATTCTTCATTAGTCTAACCTTTCCAGTTTTTCAGTTGATTTCATTTTCCTTCTGAACTTCTTTGAAGATATCAATTAAGGTATTTATTCTTGCCATCAATTTAATGTATAAATTTATTCTATATCCTTGCTTACTCTACATATTGTATCATAAACCAAAATCTGACAATTTAATAAGCTCATGTACTCCGTCTTTCTATAGATTCTGTTCTTATAAAACTAAAACTAATATTTTAAGACTTCTATGGCCCAGATGCCCTTTTTGAGCATTATTTTTTGCTTTGACAAACTTGGCTAAAATCTAGGGCTCAGTTTATTATGTGATTTTTGTTGCTTCATAACCTGTAATTATTTAAATGAGGGCGTAGAGCCTTAAGAGTAGCATTATTTTCTCTCTTAATAAAGATTTTTGTAAAACCTATTTATGGCATCATCATCTATAGTCATAAGTTATCTTTAAAAATAATTTTCTAGTTTCCAGTGATCAACTATATTATTTTTATGCTTGGATCTTAGGTACAAACTTTTGGAGTCAAAATTAGAATCTACTCTAAAGAAGTCCCTTGAGATAAAGAAGAAAAAATTGCTGCTTTAGAAGCTAGATTAGAAGAATCCACAAATTATAATCAGCAGTTGCGCCAAGAACTTAAAACAGTAAGTGCTTTCCTTAGAATTTTATTTTATTAATTTTTTTATTTCTTTTTCTTAAATATGAGAGTATTCTCAAACAGGTCTTTGTCATATAGAATATAATAACAAATTACGGTGTAATTTACTCAAAACTATTTTATGTGTGTATGTCTCTGAAGCTGTTAGGGATACATCAGAATTAAGGGAGTGAGGTGGGACCTCCCTGGTGGCACAATAGGCTGAGCGCAGTGCTGTGAAGCTGTCTGCAGCCTCTGCGGCACAGGTTCGATTCCCAGCTGGCCAGGGAGATACCCATGTGGCATGACAGACTCTCCTGTCCCACCCACTGCTCCCCTCAGCAGTTTTTTGGGTCATGTGCCTTTTCTGCTCCCTGCTCTGTCTCTGATGAATTCTCTCACTCTCCCGTGCCTCTGGCCTGTACCCCAGTTCTTGTATAAATACATAAATTTTTTTTTAAAGATTTATTTATTTATACAAGCACTGGGTACAGTCAGAAGTGCGGGAGGGTGAGAGAATTCACCAGAGCAGGGAGCAGAACAGGCAGACGGACGAAATACACTGCTGAGGGGAGCAGCGGGCAGCAGGAGAGGTCTGCGCGCCATATGGGACCCTTGCCCGGCGGCCGGGGATCGAACCAGCACTGCAGAGGCTGTGGGCAGCTTCGCAAGCCAGCGCTCAACCGCTGCACCACGGGGGAGGCCCAATACATAAATCTTAAAAAAAAAAGGGAGTGAGGTGGCAAAAAGGTAGACTTACTTCATTGAGAAAAGTTCTCAATGTGACACTGACACTTTCTCAGTTGAGAATTCAGGTAGGTGTAAGGATAGCAAGTTGAGGAAAATTGCATGTATGGTGTTGAGAAAGCACCTAATCTCATAAATTTGAAGTCTTTTTTTTTAAAGAGTTTTTTTTTTTTAAGATTTATTTATACAAGCACTGGGTACAGTCAGAAGTGCAGGAGGGTAAGAGAATACACTAGAGCCAGAGTGGGGAATAGAACAGCCAGACTGACGAAATACACTGCTGAGGGGAGCAGTGGGCGCAGCAGGAGAGGTCTGTTGCGCCATGTGGGACCCTTGCCGGTGGCCGGGGATCGAACCTGCACTGCAGAGGCTGCGGGCAGCTTTGCAGCCCAGTGCTCAACCACTGCACCACCAGGGGAGGCCCAAAAATTTGAAGTCTTTTCTAGATTTGCTTTCTTGTGATAGTTGTATTATTGTTCAGCAAAGTAAGCAAGGCAGCTGTCTATTTTCTCTACATGAGTGAATTGAAACTGAAGCAGTTTCCTTATTTTGTAGATATAATATATGGTACAGTCAGTTTGCAGGGCTACCAGAAGTGGTCTTACAGACAATTAAAACATTCACACTGACAAGATTACGTTAAGAACCATTCAGTTTAAGGGCTACAAGGGGTTAAGATGCAACATATGAAGCTGCCTGCAGCCACTGCAGAATGAGTTCGATCCCCTGCCAGGGAGCTAACGCACATGGCGTAGCAGACCTCTCCTAACTGGCCCTCTGCTCCCCTCAACAGTGTATTTCAGTCAGTCTGCCTTTTCTGTTCCCCACTCTGTCTCTGGTGAATCCTCTTAGCATCTGCACCTCTGGCCTGTACCCCAGTTCTTGTATGCATAAATAATAAATATTTGGGGAAAAAAAAACCATTCAGTTTAAAACAGTATAGAAAATACAAGTATCTTGCAGGGTACTGTCAGGTGTTCCTCTTCACATACTTGCCTTAGAGTCATTTTCCCAGTGGATGATAGTTTAGATACAAAAAGGTGATATTCACATTGGATTTCTGTAGGATCTACCCTGACTTTGAGACTTCAGACTCCACAACAGTAACGATCTCTTAAATTCCAGAGGCATAGATTTAATATTTCTGCAGTTGATAATACCAATTTTTTTTTTTAAATAGAGGCATGTTTTATTTATTTATTTTATTTGTTTGTTTTGTTTATACATGCACTGGGTACAGTCAGAAGCGCGGGAGGGTGAGAGAATTCACCAGAGCCAGAGCGGGGAGCAGAGCAGGCAGAAGGACCGAAGTACACTGCTGAGGGGAGCAGTGGGCGGCAGGAGAGGTCTGTGCGCCATGTGGGACCCTCCTCCGGTGGCCGGGGAGCAGCCGGGGATCGAACCGGCTCCGCAGAGGCCAGAAGCTGGGCAGCTTCACAACCCAGCGCTCAACCGCTGCGCCACCGGGGAGGCCCGATAATACCAATTTTTAGAGTCGCTGTGCTCAGAGAAATTCAAAGATAATGACTTCCTGTTAGGTATTTATAGTTTTCTCATGCCAAATAAAATGTACCTATCAGGAGTCATCTTTCCTTTGAGTAATCTTGCCTAGTAAATAAAACATTCTATTTTTATCAGGTTTAGAGAGAAACAACTCCTTAAAATGAGTTTCTTATATAGAAAGGGTCAACATTACCATGAAATATATATTATGAAAAAAGAAAATTCGAGAGCTTTGCTTAGTTAATATAAATAAATAATCCAAAAAACAGACTTGATGTATCTCCTGAAATTTTTTTGTCATATTAAGCAGTATTAGTAGGTTGCAAATAAATTCAATTTCATGAAGATAAATAGAAAATCATGGGCCTCCCCGGTGGCGCAGCGGTTGAGCGCTGGGTTGCGAAGCTGCCCGCGGCCTCTGCGGCGCCGGTTCGATCCCCGGCTGCTCCCCGGCCACCAGAGGAGGGTCCCACATGGCGCAGACCTCTCCTGCCGCCTGCTGCTCCCCTCAGCAGTGTACTTCCGTCCTTCTGCCTGCTCTGCTCCCCACTCTGGCTCTGGTGAATTCTCTCACCCTCCCACGCTTCTGACTGTACCCAGCGCTTGTATAAATAAAATAAATAAATAAATCTTTAAAAAAAATAAAGCAATTCAGCTTATTAGCAGTTTTAGTTATTAACATAACAAAATCGTTAGTTTTGAGTTGACTTTCCTAAACTAGGATTTGGTTGTAATTGCACCATGAAAATATATTCATGGATTGTGCACTCTATAACATAGCTCATTCTGGGCAACATATCATATAGTTGCTCCTCAACTTTGGTTTAGGTATCTTTTCATGTAGATATGTGTCAGATCTTAATCTGCTCTTTATATGGGTATTTCTGACATTTCTAATCTGCTGTAGATAGCTCTAAAAAGAATTAGTTTTTAGTAATAGGTCTATAGTACTAGGTTAATATTTAGTATAGGTTAATATTAGTAATAGGTTTATGTCCAGTTAATCTGTTCTTTAAGGGTTTTTCTTAATAAACAGTGGCATCAGAAATTACAGAATATATTATTAGGCGCATGACTAGGAGCATCACACAAAAATAGAGTATATTTAATATTTCTAGGAGGAGAGGATGTGCGTTGTGCAAAGTATAACCTGTGATCATGTATTAGTAATGATAATTGTGTATATTGTTTATCACATTTTTAAATGGATTTTCTCACATTTTCCAGACCAGTGCAGAGTACAATTAATTGCAAGAAATAAAATTTTGCTCATTCTTTTTCTTCCAAATAAAATATTTTAAATAAAATTTTAGGTGAAAAAGAATTACGAAGCTCTCAAACAGAGACAAGATGAAGAAAGAATGGTACAGAGCTCTCCTCCAACATCTGGTGAAGATAACAAATGGGAACGAGAAAGTCAGGAAACAACTAGAGAACTTCTGAAAGTTAAAGACAGATTAATTGAAGTAGAAAGAAATGTAAGTATTTTGATATTTTCATAAGAGTAAGTTTATTTTTTTATATATTTTTTAAAGATTTATTTATTTATTTATACAAGAACCGGGGTATAGGCCAGAGGCGTGGGAGGGTGAAAGGATTCACCAGAGACAGAGCAGGGAACAGAACAGGCAGACTGATGAAATACACTGCTGAGGGGAGCAGTGGGTGAGCCAAGAGAGGTCTGCTGCGCCATGTGGGACCCTCGCCCACCGGCCGGGATTGAACCGGTGCTGCAGAGGCTGCGGACAACTTCACAGTGTGGCACTCAACCGTCTGGGAGGGGAGGCCCATAAGAATAAGGTTTTTTAAAAATAAAGGACCATTAGATAACTCAAATTTTATGTAATTTGTGTCCAGTTTATACTTTGAAGATTTATTTTATGATATAAGAGACTGGAGACTAATAACAATGTATTTTGCCCCGTCACCCTTCTATAAGTCCATCTGTAAGCTTTTGTCAGCTCTTGAAAATGTAACCCAAGCCCTTCTACCTTTCTCCATGTTAGCTTCTAGTATTCTAGTCTAAGATAATACCATCTCTAATCTGGATGATTACAGTGTCTTCCTTACATCTGCTGCTTCTGTGCCCCAATTCTTTTCTAAATGCAGTAAACAGTTATTTTTTTAAACATTATCCAAATCATGTCATTTAAAATTTTCTATTGGCTCCCCATTTCAATTAGAATAAAATCCCATTTTGTTTCCTCTGTATCCTGTAAGATTCTTCCTGACTTTCCCTTGTCTGTATCTTTGACCTTATACCATACCACTCTTCCATACTCATCTAGGTATGTTTATTAATTTGGGGATAATATCTGTTAATATGTGGAAAACATAAAACAATACCTGGCAGATACTGAGTAAATTAATTCTAGTCACATTGGCCTTCTTCTGTTTGTCCGTACCACAGGGTATGAACTACATATTTCTCTGTGTGGAACACGCAGCTGACTTCACTTGGCATGATTTCCTAATAGCACATGTCTCCTGCAAGAGGTCTTTCCCAGGGCCTCCCCAGTGGCACAGCGGGTTGAGCGCAGCGCTGTGAAGCTGTCCTCAGCCTCTGTAGTGTGGGTTCGATTTCCAGCCAGCCAGGGAGAAACCCACATAGTGCGGCAGACCTCTCCTGTCGCGCCTGCTGCTCCCCTCAGCAGTGTATTTCGGTCCATCTGCTTGTTCTGCTTCCCGCTCTGTCTCTGGTGAATCCTCTCACCTACACCTCTGGCCTGTACCCCAGCTATTGTATAAATTAAAAAATAAATAATCTAAAAAAAATAAATAAATCTTAAAAAATAAAAAAGAGGTCTTTCCCAACCTGTTTCCTTAGTAAAGTAGCTTTCCCCAATCTGAACCATTTACCATCACACCACTGTCTAATTTCTTTGTAATAAATAAAAAAATACATTTTTTATTCATTTATTTGTTGTCTACTGAAGGAAGAAAAGGGCTTTGAAAGCACATTAACTTGTCTTTGTTTTTTTCTCACTGCCTTCAATGTATAGAATAATGCGTAGTAGATAGCAGACAGTAAATATTTGTTGAGTGAGTTCAATAAGTATTTTATGGTCTCCTTGGTGGTGCAGGGGGTTCAAATCTCAGCGCTATTAAGCTGTCACCAGCCACTGTGGCATGAGTTCGATCCCCAGTCAGGGAGCTAACCTACATGGTGTAGCACACCTCTCCTCTTTCACCTACAGTGTATTTCAGTAGATCTGCCTTTTCTGCTCCCCCTCTGTCTCTGGAAAATCCTCTCACCCCCTGCATCTCTGGCCTACCCCCAGTTCTTGTGTGCATAAATAAAAATAAATCTTTTTAATTTTTTTTTAAGATTTATTTTTTATTTATACAAGAACCGGGGTACAGGCCAGATGCGCGGGAGGGTGAGAGAATTCGCCAGAGACAGAGTTGGGAACAGAACAGGCAGACTGATGAAATACACTGCTGAGGGGAGCAGCAGGTGAGACAGGAGAGGTCTGCTTGCCATGTGGGTTGCAACAAGGCCGGCTGGGATGGAACCGGTACTGCAGAGGCTGCGGACAGCTTCACAGCACTGCCCTCAACCGCCTGCGCCACCAGGGAGGCCCAAAAATAAATCATTTTAAAAAATAAGTATTTTACAGTAAACAATTATCAAGTGAATTCAGTAAGCATTTATCCTTCAAAGGTGAATGAAGTTGTTGCATGCAAACAAGTAAAATAACTGATTTTTGTTACTGTTTTTTCAGTTAAATGTTTCTTAAGAACTTTAAGCCATAAAGCCAAAAATTAATCTTTTACAATATTCCTACTTTCTCACTCCAATAGGGATTGTTATCCTCCGAAAAGTCAGTCATTTACTTATCTGTGTATGGAAGTTTCTCTCTTTCACAAATTTACAAATGTGGGATCATACTATACAATATTCTTAAATATATTTTTTTGTTATCTTGGAGCATATTTTAGCATGTACATATGTGTGTGTTTGATTTTGATATCATTAATCATTATATTAATTATCTTCTATCTTAATATAATTAATCATTAATTTATGTGTGTGTTTGATTTTGCTATCATTATGTTATTCTATATTAAATCCACTAAGACCTGTTTTTTCAGATTAACATTGGGTGTTACCAACCTTTTAGTTTTTGTCATAAAGTTAGAGGAGACAGTATTTCGATTTGCAAGTTTCAAATTATTAGCAAGGTATTTTACATCTTTACATATTTATTGGCCATATAGCAGTACTTGTTTTTAGTTATTTGATGATATATGTGTGTATCACCTGGATTAATATTTACATTTTATAAACTTGACTAGCATGTAAAGTTCTGTTAGATAAATTGCTTTTTCCCATTGAATTGATGTTTCCATTGAAAAAATTACTCCGTTATCATTATTTTAGTGTTTTTAAAGAATAGGTTTATAAAGTTGCGTAGACTGGTAATTTTTGTGTAATTGCTAGTATATTTGCTAACCTCATACTTGTTTTTTTCCTGATGTTATGCAAAGATCAAAAAAGACAAACCCATGCCATTTTGACAACATGGCTTTGTAGTATTGTTTCAAGTGTTGAAATATAATACCTTCATCTTTCTCCCTTTTAGTCAGGAGAGCTTTCACTCTTCAGAGGTTTTTATGGTTTCATGTGAATTTCAATCATACTTGTTCTCTTTCTTAGAAGAATGCCTTGACATTTTAATTGGAATTGCATTGAGTCTGTAAATTGCTTTTGGCAGGATGGCCATTTTGATAATGTTAATTCTCCCTATCCATGCGCACAGAATATTTTTCCATTTCTTTGTGTCTTCTCTTTCTCTTAACAGTGTTTTGTAGTTTTCCTTGTATAGGTCTTTCACCTCCTTTGTTAGGTGTTTAATTTTGGGGGGTATCATTGTAAAAGGTATGGTTTTCTTAATTTCTTCTTCTTGAGATTAATGGTTTGCACAGGAAGGCTACTGATTTTTGTGTATTGATTTTTGTAACCTGCTGCATTACTAAACTGGTTTTATTGTTTTAATTAGGTTTTTTGTGGATTTTTTAGGATTCTCTCTATATATTATGATATCATCTACATATAATGATAGTTTCACTTCTTCTTTCCCTATTTGGATTCTTTTTATGTCTTTCTCGTGCTTACTTGCCCTAAATAGGAATTCCACTACTATATTGAAAAGCACTGGTGGGAGTGAACATCTTGTCTTATTCCAGATCTTAATGGGAAGGCTTTCAGGTTTTCACCATTAAGGAAAATGTTAGCTGTGGGTTTGAAATTGACTTTTTTAATACAATGACGTGTACTGTATATAATGTGAAAGCCTATAAAGGAATGTTATCTTTCCCCTAATGGTGATACAATATAAATGAAGTATTGTGATTTAGTTGTAACTTTTTATGCATAATGCAAATATTTATACAAATTTTGACCTTTTATCAAAGTTTTATTTGTTTTCTAGCTGTGTCCTTTATACTTTTGATGCTAATTCTTTTTATGAGATGTTAGTCAGGAATCATCCCTGCAAAATAATATCCATGACAAATACTTTGATATCTGTCACATTAAATATAATGATCTATGATTTACATGGTGATTAAACCACTTAATTATTAGTTGAAATGTGGCCATATGTATTAGAAAAATTGAAAATGTTGTGTTTATTTGGATTTGCTCCAGAAGTCTTATAGATGAAAGTGTTTTATACCATGAAAAAAAAAATCACTAAAGAAAATATGTAACATCTCATATCTATTATGAACTAAATTTTTAAACAGGTGGTTAAGATGATTCTTGGTTCTCTCCAAATATTGTTTATAAAATACTTAGTTTTCCTACTACCACTGGGGCCACCACTTTCCTTCATTAAATATATTTGCCTTGCACTATTAGAAAATGCAGGCACCTTTGGACACAGCCCCACTCATTATGGGCCCTCTGTGTACTTTTGGGCCATATAGCTGGGCATCTCATTTTAGTTTCTTATGTTAATAAATATATTTGAGGTGGAATGTCTTATTTTTCAGACATTATGAAGCAGAGAGGACATAAACACAATGGTATATTAAGATTTTAGTGTTACTGTTTTCATTAGGATATAAATTATCCTAAGAATTGTTTACAATGTGGGATAGAGGGTAATGCTTTATTGTTTTCTAAGATTATTGGGATTTTTTGGGGATTATAATAGTAATAAATTCTAATGCAAGATTTCATTATCTGTTAAATAGAAGTTTGTTTGATATTGCCTTTAATTTTAACAATGTGTTTTCTTTATGAAGAATGCTACACTGCAAGCAGAGAAACAAGCGTTGAAAACTCAACTGAAACAGCTTGAGACACAGAACAATAATTTGCAGGCTCAAATTCTTGCACTTCAGAGGCAGACAGTGTCATTACAGGAACAGAATACTACTCTTCAAACACAGAATGCCAAACTCCAGGTTGTAATGTAATATTTTGGGACTATCCAACCAAACTCTTGAAACATACTATTAAAATAAGGGTACCTGTACATGGTAACATATTTCTTAGTGAACTTAGCAATATTGAAAATAAATTTAAATATTTCTATTTAATGCTATGTAAGGCTTTCAGATAGAATTTTTTATGTATCAGAGTCTCTAAATATTAATTGATAAATTCACTCAAGAAATAAATAAAGTAATTTTATTTATATTTATGTTACGGCCTTTCACCCATTTCAACAAATTGATTGTAATTCAAGCAGAAATCTTTGCTCTGGAGTAAGGTTGTAGTATAGTATTTCTGATTTCATTTGCAAAGCTTTCTTTTCAGTTAAGTTATTGGAAAACAACATAACATTTTGAACATTTTGTCCTCAGATTTGCCCTTATTTCAAAGGGTCTATCTATTTACACTGGTACTTTAGACTGCCATTGTCTTTTCAAGTAAAATAGTTTGGTTGGGGGAAATAGAACTTTTTGAAACCTCTTGAAGAGCAGAAGGAAAGACATTCCCTCACTCAATCTGAAAGTTTTCTGAACTCTTTTCCAATTCGTAAAGCAAATAATGAATTCAATCTAAATTTAAGAAAATTTCCAACTGAATTTTCAAAAATAATTTTTCTGTTATTTCTCCACTTCTAGAAAGTGGTAAACTAGCATTTTAAATTCTGTACTTTTTCATGACTGGAATGCAAATTGTTCCTAATCACCTTCATTTAAAGTAATTCAGCTTAAAACATATACTTGATACGTATCTTTTAAAGTATGTCACATGTATATCATAACATATACCAAAATGAAATGGTAGCCATATTCTTTGTGATGCTAAAATTCAAATTTTCTCAGTATAATATGACTGTACAGAGTGATTCATTTAGAGCTTCCTAAAAATTTAATGTAATTTTTTATTTTATAAAAACAACCTAGCTATTTTTTCAAAATCCTGATAACTACATGCATTCCTACAGGTTGAAAATTCCACTCTTAATTCCCAAAGTACCTCACTTATGAACCAAAATGCCCAACTCCTAATCCAGCAGTCTTCATTAGAAAATGAAAATGAAACTCTGATTAAAGAGCGAGAAGACCTGAAATTACTCTATGATTCTCTGCTCAAAGATCATGAAAAGCTGGAACTTCTCCATGAACGACAGGCTTCAGAGTATGAATCTCTTATTGCTAAACATGGAACTCTGAAGTCTGCTCACAAAAATCTTGAGGTGGAACATAAAGACCTCGAAGACCGGTAATATTTTCTTTCACTGTTAATTTAAAACCAATTTTCTTTGGGTAATATAAAAATGTCATGTGTTGAACATACCTAAGCCATCTAGGAAATGTATATAAACATACCTTGTATGTGATACTTATTAATAAATTACTCATTTCCTTCATTTCTAAAAAGTTTTTTTTTCCACTAAGAAAACATTATAAACCAAACACCTAACTTTTTTCTAGGTACAATCAGTTACTGAGACAGAAAGGACAATTGGAAGATTTGGAAAAAACATTGAAAGTAGAACAGGAAAAAATGCTACTTGAAAACAAAAACCATGAGACTGTAGCTGCAGAATACAAGAAACTTTGTGGTGAAAATGACAGGTAATAAATGTTTATATATTTTAGGTTTCTATTATTCGTTATATCCAAAGTGTACACTGACTGCCCCTTCGTAGTGCCACCTGTAACAGAATTTTTAAAGGTCCCGTAGTTGTAAGTATATTAACCAACAAAATAATGTAGCTATTTATATAGAATAGCTGTGACAAAAACCTAGCTCTCTATTATTGTTTCTTTCTTGATTTATTCAACTAATTAAGTTTTTAAGTCATATGCAAAATTTCTGTAACATAATAACATTTATGTACCTTATTAAGACAGCATGTAATGAAACCTGATTCATTGTCTTTCTCACTTTATGTTTGTCACATGTCTAATTCTTGTCTTTTCAAGTTGCTGTAAGTTAGCAACCTTACAATTTTATATCTAATTGATTTTGTACTTTTTAAAAAAATTTTAACTGGCTTAGGTATTAATGGTCTCATACTGCCATGGGGAAATTACTTTTTATTTTGAAGTCAAGAAAACCATAACTTGTCAACTGGTAAACAGCCTGCTTGCATAGGGTACATTTTCAAAACTTTTAGAAACCTTTGAGAAGTTTAGAAACCTTTGAAAAATTCCACCCATAAATATTTACACTGCTGAAATGCCCTTGGAATGCTTTTAGAATTAAATTTCTATTTCTTTTCCTTACCAAAATATCCCTAATCTAGTCATTTTTATTTTCATACTTGGTAGTTCTAAATTTAGTAATCATTAAAACTATATAGAAATTTAGTTTTGGGACCTCCCTGTTGGCTCAGGGGGTTAAGTGTCAGCACTATGAAGCTATCCGCCTCCACTGAGCTCTGGCCAGGGAGCTAACCCACATGGTGCAGCAGGCCTCTCCTGTCTTGCCTCCCCTCAGCAATGTATTTCAGTCAGTCCTCCTATTGCACTTCCCACTCTGTCTCTGGCGAATCCTCTCACCTCCTCACCCCCACACGTCTGGCCTACATACTAGCTCTTGTATGTGTAAATAAATAAAATAAAACTTTTAAAAAAAAAAAAGAAATTTAGTTCTGGAGGAGTTGAACTTCAATGAAATCAACCCCAAGCTGTAATCAAGAAGGGGTTGTTTGCACCATAGGGACATGTGCTAGAAAACCAAATTGTGATAAGTTATGTAAGAAGGGGATTGTTTTTATTACATACTTAGCATTGGAGAATGTACTTACTGTGGAAATCCTAACATGAGTCTAATCTTTTCCCATTTTGGGGATTCATAGCAAACTTGGGATAGATCATGAACTTGGTTGTTAGGCCTTTTAGGAATCAAGTTGCATATATTACTGAGGAGCATCCAAAGGAAGAACTAAACCTAATAGATAAGGAGAAATTGAACATGATGAGCTTAAATCAGAAGATCCCATAGTCTTGCAAGGGAGGAACAGTCCTAATCGAATGTTTTCTGTCTCACATTTGTTCTTTTTTGTTGTTTTTTTTGGTTTTTTGTTTTAAAGATGTACAGGCCAGAGGTGTTGGGGGGGGTGAGAGGATTCACCAGAGATAGAGTTGGAAACAGAACAGGCAGACTGACCGAAATACACTGCTGAGGGGAGCAGCATGTGAGTGAGAAGAGGTCTGCTGCGCCATGTGGTTCACCTCCCTGGCCGGGTATTGAACTCGTGCTGCAGTGGCTGCGGCTAGCTTCATAGATTGTTTCTTAACCCCTTGCGCCACCAGGGAGGCCCCCTCATGTCTGTTTTGCCTAGCTTTCATGCACTCTGTATCATAAGGAAGAAGAAGCTTTAATTAGAACCTGAGAGAGCTTTAATCAAAAAAAAAAAAAGATTTTTATGAAAACTTGTCAGGAGACCAGTAGTTTATCCATTCCATTATCTCAGATATTGATAAACCAAGAAAGTTTCTTAAATAGATGGAGTAGTCTTGAATGCTTTAGCGTTGTGTTTGATGAATTGCATTTGATATTAATGTTCTCAACTTTAGGGACAGTTAAAAAAAATCAGAGCTCATTTGAGCATTTATATCAGAGATGATATTGAGGACATTGTATATCTTCACATTCCTCCCCCCATGAAGCATATGTAGGGGAATCTTTGATCTCCATGTATATTGTGTAATTATCTGTATGTTTTATTGACGTCACACTCATGGCATGCTTTCATTCATGGTTCCAACCTATTTATGGAACATTTACTGTATGTTTCTGGTCTTGCCGCTTAATTTTGTCAAGTCTTGATTTTTTAAATATGTTATTTACAGTTGTTGTAAACAGACTTAAAGTCTTCAGAAAATAAGTTGAACTATTAAATGTTCTAACCAGATACCATCCTAGGCAAACATGGTTTGTTTGACTACCTCCTTCTTTTGTGGGTTCCTGGTATTGATGCCATAGGTTGAAGGTTTATAAACTAGACCAGCTCAGTAGGCCAAATCCAGTCTTTACCTTTTTTTAGTGCAGCCCCTGGACCAAGAACAATTTTCACATTTTACAAAGGTGGTAGGAGAAACAAAAAAGAACAACACACTATAGACTACATATGGCTCACAAAAACTAAGTTATTTATGCTGGTACTTTACAGAAAAGTTTACTGATCTCTTTCTTAGAGATTAGTGCATCAGGCTATGGTTTGATTTCTACAAATATCCAAAATTTGTCTTTAATAACTGGGAACTGCTTAAATATGAGTAATTTATCACAACTTTGGAAAACTAAAATTTTGATTTAAGCCTGTAAATCTTGGTGCACCTAGAGACACATTGTTAAATTATGATCGTTCATACTGTCTTGAGTAGTTCTCTTGATCTGATCTTCATTGAATTTCAGCAGGGAATTTAAATCTGAATTTTTTTGAAATCGAAAACTGGACTGGTCATGTCTCTTTTAATTTTTAGTCCTTAAAAAATACTTATATAAGACTGTGAGTATGTTTACATTTTCAACATATTAAAATGCTGAAAGATTTCAAGGGAAAAGTGCTCAGAATTTTAAAAAATGTAGTATTTACAAAGTAGAAACCGATCCTTGATCAGTTCAGGAACTGACAAAAGACTCTTTTATATTTTAATGTCTTAATGTGATTTATAGTATTTTCACACTGTGTTAAAGCTACTAAGAGTAATTCTATCTCAATTATGATTTCTAATTGTAGGTTGAATCATATATATATACAGCTTTTAAAAGAGACTGAAGTTTTACAAACTGATCATAAAAATTTGAAAAGTCTTCTAAATAACTCCAAACTGGAACAAACAAGATTAGAAGCTGAATTTTCAAAGCTTAAGGAACAATACCAGCAGTTGGACATTACATCCACCAAACTAAATAATCAGTGTGAGGTGAGCTTTAACAAGTTTAATCATTTCTTTCTTTCCTCTAGGCCTCAAGACATGTCTGAAAATTAAATAATGATATTATGAAAATAACAGTATGTATTTAGCAGGATATTTTTGAAAGAATTGGTCAGCAGTAATTGAAATTCATAAATAATTGAGAAAACCAATATCATAATTTCAGCCTATTTTCTTATTAATTTTAAGCCAGGTCCAGTTACTTTGAGTATTGTAAATTTATATTATGTTTAATAAAAAAAAGTTTACTGACCACTTGCTATGTACTGCTAATGAACCAAAAATGAAAATCTTTTCTCTTGTAGAGGTTATATTCTGGTAGAAGGAAACATGACAATGAGTGAATTATATCGTGTTTCATTGTTTTGTTACATACTCAGCAAATTACCATAAAACTCAGTGGTGTAAAACTGTTTATTATGCTTACAGATTCTGTGGGTCACAATTTGGACAGGAATGATGGAGTTGGTTTGTATACTATCCTTGTAGCTGGGTCCTCAGTTGGAAATTTAAAAGGCTGAGTGCATAGTTGGTAGCTGAAGGCTGGTTTTTAGCTGGAGATAGCATTTTATTCATAATGGTCTCTCTTGAGTTGGTTTGGACATTCTCACAACATGGTGGGAAACAAACTATTTTTGCATTTATGACCATGCCTCAGACAGAAGTCATACAGCAGCATTTACCCTGCATTCTTTTCATTGAGGTAGTCAATATCCTGTCCAAGTTTAAGGGGAAAGAGAAATAGACTTAGCTTCTTTTTTTTAACTTTTTTTTTCTTTTTAAGATTTCTTTATTTTTTTTAAATAAATTTTATTTTTATATTCCCATTACAATTGCATCCCCCTTATTTTGACCCCAATCCCTCCCCTCCCCACTCTCCACCCCCCCATAGAGTTTCTCTGGTTCATAGTTGTTTGTTGATTTTGATTTCCACTTTCTTATAGTTATTCGTTTTCCTGGTCCCTTATTTAAGTTTTCTAGATTCCTGCTATGAGTGAGACCATCCGGTATTTTTCTTTTTCTTTTTGGCTTATTTCGCTGAGCATGATCCCTTCCAGCGCCATCCATGTTGCTGCAAATTGCATGTGTTTATCTTTTTTGAGTGCTGAGTAATATTCCATGGTGTATATGTACCACATCTTCTTGATCCAGTCATCTATTTTTGGGCATTTGGGCTGTTTCCAAATCTTAGCTATTGTAAATAGTGCTGCTATAAACATAGGGGTGCAGGTGCTCTTTGGAATTGATGTTTCTGTGTCATTTGGGTAAATACCTAGCAGTGGAATTGCTGGATCATATGGAAGCTCTGTGTTTAGTAGGTCCAGAAATCTCCACACAGCTCTCCATAGTGGTTGGACCAGTTTGCACTCCCACCAACAGTGCAGGAGAGTTCCTTTTTCTCCACATCCTCGCCAACATTTGTTGTTGCTAGTTTTTTTTAATATGTGCCATTCTCACTGGTGTAAGATGGTATCTCATGGTAGTTTTGATTTGCATTTCCCTGATTACAAGTGATGTTGAACATTTTTTCATATGCCTGTCGGCCATTTGCATTTCCTCTTCAGAGAAGTTTCTTTTTAGCTCTTCTGCCCATTTTTTGACAGGATTTTTTCTTTGTTGTTGTTGAGTCTTATCAGCTCTTTGCAGATTTTTGTGATCAGTCCTTTATCATTAGTGTTGTGTGCAAAAATGTTCTCCCAGTCGGTGGGTTTTCTCTTTGTTTTGGTTATTGTCTCTTTTGTTGTGCAGAAGCTCTTTAATTTGATGTAGTCCCAGCTGTTGATTTTTGCCTTCACTATCACTGCTTTGGGTGATGTGTTATAATTTTTTATACAAGCACTGGGTACAGTCAGAAGCGCGGGAGGGTGAGAGAATTCACCAGAGCCAGAGCAGGGAGCAGAACAGGCAGAAGGACTGAAGTACACTGCTGAGGGGAGCAGCAGGCGGCAGGAGAGGTCTGCGTGACCTGTGGGACCCTCCTCCGGTGGCCGGGGAGCAGCCGGGGATAGAACCAGCACTGCAGAGGCTGTCGGGCAGCTTCGCAACCCAGCGCTCAACCCGCTGCACCACCGGGGAGGCCCTAGACTGAGCTTCTTAATGAAGAATGGCAAAAGTTTGGAACAACAAGTGGGTTAGATTGCTGTAACTATTTTAAAAAATTAGTCTGAAATCTGTGGCATGTTACAAGATGAAAAGTTATGTGCAAGTAATAACAGTAGGGTAAAGTTGATGAGGACTGCCAGGAGTGTAGAATGAAAAAATTCAACTAGGCATCATTTAACAAAGGTTTGAAGGAGATTAGCATATTATTATGTAGATATCTAAGAAAAGAACATTCTGAGCAAACAAGCAATATAGTATTCCTAGGGCCAGGGAAATCCTGGTGTTTGATGATTACTCAAGGAAGCCAGTGTGATTGAAGTGGAATGAGCAAAGGGGAAAGTAAAGCTGAGATGAGTCAGATACGTTACCTTATAGGCCATTGTAAAATGTGTGACTTTTATTTTTAATTAGCATGGGGCAGAAATACATCTGCTTTCCCTGATGTATATGGTTTTATTTTTAACATATTCCCTACCTCTTCAGTGATGGTTGGATACGTGATAAAGGGTTTGAAATACGTACACTGAAAGCCTTAGATAATTCATAAATTTTATGCTTGGTACCTAAATCATTAAAGTTTGAATATAGTTTAATACTTGAATTTCCCTTTTTAAAAAATATTTGTTTATTTATGCAAAGAAGAATTAGGGTGTAGGCCAGAGGTATGGGGGATGAGCAGATTCACGAAGGACAGAGTGGGGAGCAGAACAGGTGGCTCTACTGAAATGCATTGCTAAGGGGAGCAAGTGGGCGAGACAGGAGAGGTCTGCTGTGCCATATGTGGGTTAGCTCACTGGCCAGGGATCAAACTCAGGCCATAGGGGTGATAGTGCTGAGACTTAATCCTTAGGCCACTAAGGAGGCACCCAAATACTTAAATTTCATTGAACATTTAGGAAACCAGCATTTAGCATACTCTTAAATGAAATTAGAAATAAGCTATCAGATAAGTAACACCTAAAAGCTTTTGGTTTATAAACCAATAGAAGAAATTAGTTTGAAAGATATATATTTAATTACCCAACAACATTCAGGAAACATAGAACATTCACTCTGCCTGTGATTTATAAAAGTATAAATGAAATATAGTTGGAATAATGAACTTAAACAGAATAGTGGAATGAGGACTATGGCAAATAACTAACCAGGAAACAATAAAATTTAGAATTTGGAATTGAAGCATTTATGCTTTAGGCATATGTGTAGGCATATGTACCATATATGGGTTAGCTCCCTGGCCAGGGATCAGACTCGGGCCATAGGGGTGATTGTGCTGAGACTTAACTCTTAGGCTGCCAGGGAAGGCCTTTGATGAGAATTTATTAAAGAAAAACTCCTCAACTTTAAATGGGAACTATTGGTTGTCTGAGGCATTTTATTTTGTGACTTCTATTCCATTCCCTTCCTACCTCTCAGTTCCAATACCTGGTAGTTTTGCCAAGACATAAGGTAAGCCATGAGAACCAGCCTCTTTGCTACTGAAAGTGTTTGACTTGACTTAGCAGAGCACCAAAAGTTTCCATGCCAGGGAGAGTTGTCAAAGGGCAGTTCTCAGATAGTCTGAGGGTGGACTTTGGAACAAATAACAAACCAACAGACTATTTAGAAATTTATTGGGGGATCTGAGGAATGAGACAGCCAGCCATGGTGGGTCTTGTAAGGTTCCTAGTCTCACTAGTGGTGTGGAAGGTTGCTCTGAAGAGATAAGAAAAGATGCTAGCTACTCACTTATTGCTGGCTGATTGTTTTAACTTAAGTTAACCCTTGACTAGGATTTGGAGGAATAGTATTTGGAGGAGTGTGATTTGGAAGAATCGGTAAAATGTATCTATACTGTAAGAGATTAGGATAGTAGTTAATCTTTGTGAGAAGGGAAGATTAAAGTATTTCTGGAATACAAATAATATGATGTTTCTTGAGCTGAGGGCTGGTTTCACATGTGTTCATTTTATGATAATTCATCAGTTACAGTTATTTATACACTTAAAATTTGTCATCTTTTCTGCATGTGTTTTATCAATTGTCTGTTGATATAATAATACTTTGTAACAGCCATAGAACCTCAGAACAACAGGACAGTCAAAATTTTTTTGCTCATGAGTCTGTGTGTTGGCAAACAGATGTAAATGATCCATGCATTGATGTGTGCAACAAGATCAGTTAATCTTAGCAGGATGTGCTCTTGCATCTGTAGTTTGCTGGCATATACACTGAGGATTGGCTGGTATTAGGTGGTCCTAGCCGGTATAACTCTTCTATATTCCACACACCCTTTCATCCCCCAGCATGATTCCAAGAGACTGAATGAAAGAACCTTCTTAAAGTCTAGGCTTAAAAGACCATCACATCCAGGGCATTCTGAATTCAAAAACAGGAGAAATAAATTCTACTTCTTGATGATAAGAGTGAGAAGTCACACTGCTGGGGCTGTAAGTACAGGAAGAAAACTGCATTCAAAATTTTGCAATGAATCAATCACATAAGTTCTGTTTCCATTTATCAATATGTAGATAAATAAAACAAACATAGCACATTACTGATAGTTGTTAAATCTAGATGGTGCCTTACTCTGCTTTTCTGTATCTTTTGAGAAATTTCAAAATACTTTTCTGTTTCCTGAGGAGGGGTTATTGTTGGCCAGTTTTTTTGGTTTTGTTTTGGTTTTGTTTTGTTTATCTCTGGGATCTATTCTAGTTGTGCTAAAATCAAATGCTAGGACCCAGAAATCTGCATTTTAAAATACACTTTTCAAGAAATGTTAAGGGCCTCCCTGGTGGCGCAAGGGGTTAAGACACAGCACTATGAAGCTACTGCAGGCACTGCAGCCCGAGTTCAGTCCTTGGCCAGGGAGCAACCCATATGGTGCAGCAGACCGCTCCTGATTTGCCCACTGCTCTGCTCAGCAGTGTATTTCAGTCAGTCTGCCAGTTCTGTTCCCAACTCTGTCTCTGGTGAATCCTCTCACCCCCCACACCTCTGGCCTGTACCCCAGCTCTTGTACGCATAAATAAATAAATATTAGGAAAAAAAAATGTTAAATTTTTGTTTTTCTGACTTCTTCTGGAATGTGTGGCCTAACCAAGGTCTATTTCCAATTTTTACTAACTTCAGAGAAAAGTAGAACAGTGCAGCCCAGCTACCAGTTATATCAGCCATTGACAAGATTGCCTGACTCCCTTGATGGGGCCACAAAAACCATACACAGATTTTTGAGATTTCTTGAAAACAGTGGGGGAGAGAAGAAATGAGGTTTATTAAATAGCTGCTGTGTACCATAAACATGACACTTTGTACTTTACATCTACTATACAACAATCTTTAGGGTAAAGGGGGAATTGAGAGAATTATATCATTTTGTAGATGATGTAGTGGAAGTTCAGAGAATTAACTAAATAATTGTCAACATTTCATAATTACCTAAGCAGAAGGCCAAAGATTTGAATCTAGCTTATAGATTTTTAGACTATAAATTAAATAGTTTTGAAGAAAGCAGTGTTTTTGGAATTGGATAATTTATTATATGTTAAGTCTAGTATTTATGAGAATTAGGACTATATATTTGTACAGTACATAACGCAGTGCCTTAGCTGTCATTATTACTAATGGTAATATTCTGATCAAAATGCAGCATTTTATTGCTCAGATAGCAGAAGACTTAGTCTTTTTAAAGTAACTTTACTTTTCAGGTGTCTTGGGTAATTTATGTTAAATGTAAAAGTTGATTTTTTTTTTTAAATATAAATGTTTATGTTTAAACAGTTGCTAAGCCAACTTAAAGGAAATTTAGAAGAAGAAAACCGACATCTACTAGATCAGATTCAGACATTAATGCTACAGAACAGAACACTATTGGAGCAGAATATGGAAAGCAAGGATCTTTTTCATGTTGAACAAAGACAGTACATGTAGGTACCAAATAATTTTGTGCTCTCACTTTTTACTCATGGTTTTATCATTGCCTTACCCAATGGCAGGAAACGTAATGCTAATTTTTCTTGATTTTCAACATTCTTTTTGAATGTTTACTTTCTAGGAACTATGCTAATAAACAGAAATACTAACATAAGAATACATAGATCCTGTTCTTAATGAACTGCTAATATAAGGATGAAAATTAAAATAATTGCTAAAATGAAGGTATATGTAGAAGACCACAGAAACAAACACATATAGGGGAAAGAGTTCATTGGTCTGGGACAGGCAAGGTGGACTTTCCAAAGATTATTGCTTGAGCTGAGACTTAAAAGTTTAGTAGGGGTTTTCATGAGACATGCAGTCCACAAAAACAATATGGCCTTTTCCTTGATGAATCTTTATCTGATCATCCAGGATAGAAATATTTTTCTTTTTATAGGTTCCTATTGTACTTCCACAGTACTTTTATTTTGACCTTGGTACTACATTGGATTATAATGGTCATTTATGTGTATGTCTTCTATATTGTAAGCAGAACTGGGCTACTTATTATTCATCTTTATATACCTCCTGCCTTCCTCATTGTAAATTATCACTAAATGTTAAAAAGGGAGTATTCTTGTCATCAGTTTTTTTAAGAGAGATCATTTTACACTGTTTTGTGATCTTTGATGTTTCCCTGTAAAACATGTACTACTAAGATTATAAAATGAGACTTAAATGTGGTGAAATTAATATATTCATGTATTACTGGAAGCAGGAAATAATTCTCTATAAGTGAATTCAGCCTAAATCTGCTGTAAAGGAGAAAACCTATTTGCATAAAGATGTGGTTCAATATTTTTTATTATATTTGTAAATTGTAAACTATCCAACATTTAAAAATTTTGTCTATATAAACTGTAATAAATTACCCTTCATCCCAAAAATTGAGATACTAAATATCCAAAATGGGGGACTAATCAACATCTGCTTACAGCTGTTGAGAGAATCTTTATTTAATCAGATTGTAATATGGAAAATTTTTTTCAGACAAATAAATCTATTGAAGAATTGAAACTAAGTCCTATATCCTTTTATTTAAGTATGTTTTAAATTTAAAGGAGCAGAAAAACATGGAAAATACACCACAGTTACTACTTAATAAATTCTTACTTATAAACTGTGATACCTGTGTTTATGTTTTAGGGCATAGTCACAAAATATCATTTATTACCGTACAAAATATAATCTGTACTAAAATGCAATTTTATTTTCATAGTGATAAGTTAAATGAATTAAGACGACAAAAAGAGAAATTAGAAGAGAAAATTATGGATCAATACAAATTTTATGACCCATCTCCTCCTAGAAGGTACCAATAGCCAAATTTTATTCATTTTTATTTAAATAAAAGAAAGTTATGTTACAATTTATAATTTTTACACCTACTAATTTTTTGAGGGATGTATTGAATTTTAGACTAATAAGAATTTTTTTTAATTATTCTATTAGGAGAGGCAACTGGATTACTCTAAAAATGAGAAAATTGATAAAGTCTAAAAAAGATATCAATCGAGAACGTCAGAAATCTCTAACATTGACACCTACACGCTCAGACTCCAGTGAAGGATTTCTTCAGCTCCCCCATCAAGACAGTCAAGATAGTTCTTCAGTAGGTTCAAACTCTTTAGAAGATGGCCAGACTTTGGGAACCAAGAAAAGCAGCAGTGAGTGCTTATATTTGTGATGTCTACTATTGATTTAGATCGATTTCTAAAGATTTTTTTTTTTATTATTAACGTCAGTCTTTTTGAGTAATTGTCTGATGAATACATTTCTTTTTCACTCCATATAATTATAAAATTAATTGCATACTGCAGTAATGCACAAATGATTTTCTATATTGCATATTTAGAAATATGGCAATACAGAGACACCAGTACCTCTGCCTCTTACTTGTTCTGTTAGCGGACAAGCTTTTTATTCTTGCATCATACTTCATAGGGTAATTATTAGGAGCAAGTTAGAAATATTCATAAGGACTCATTTTCATAATTATTTACAACTAAACAGAATAATAAAGCTTTATTATTATAAACCATATTATAATAAGGTTTTACTTATATACTTAAATGGTTTCAAGCTGAAGAAGCAAAGTTACATTGAGGAAAACAAAAACTATTACAAGTTTGAAGACAATGTTCAATAATTTAGAAATAATTGAAGGTTAGGGAAATTGTTGAGATTGCTTGGTAAAGAATCAAAATAAAATAGATGGGAGACAGAAGTTTCTGTATAAATTCTTATATAAATTTTTAAATCAGAAATGGAGAAATATCATATAAAATGGCCTATATGGGTCACAGTCGTCTGTTTCATTAATAGTATGCTTAGCTAAATGGCAAGAGAAAAGTCAAAGTCTAAACAAGTGTATCTTGAGAGAAAGAAAACAATCCAATGCTAGGCCTTTGAACATGTTTAAGAAATTGACTAGTATCTATGTTCTTGTAAAATATGTAGAGAGGATAATATGAATTTACTCACACTATCACCAGTCACTAAATTTAAAATGAATAAATATATGTGATACGTAAACACACACATTTTACTATTAAAAACAGATTAAAGACAGTTATTATTCCCCAAGGGGGAGATTCTATACACAGTATTTTGGACTCAGTAGTTAACTCTGAAAAGAGTATTTTAGGATGTAGGAGATTAGACAGAATGTCTATTTCAGAGTGCAGCTACAGCACCCTAAAAACTATAATCCATAGGGCCTCCCCGGTGGTGCAGTGGTTGTGCGCTGGGTTGCAAAGCTGCCTGAAGCCTCTGCAGCAGCACCGGTTCTATCTCCAGTGAGCCCCTGCCGCAGGGCGAGGGTCCCACGTGGCGCGCAGACCTCTCCTGCCTCCCGCTGCTCCCCTCAGCAGTGTATTTCATCACTCTGCCTGCTCTGCTCCCCGCTCTGGCTCTGGTGAATTCTCTCACCCTCCCGCACTTCTGACTGTTCCCAGTGCTTGTATAAATATAAAATTAATCTTTAAAAAAAAACTATAATCCATTAGTAAACAATAAATAACATTGTTCATATACATATATACATATTTATGCTTACATATACATGTATATATCAAGAAAATGTTTTAATTTTGTATCTTCACATAAAAATATTGTTAACTGGGTCTTTTGCTATCTAGTCTTGAAAGCCAAATCTACATGAAACTTCACTTTGAATATTTAGAGAAAACAAGTGTTTTTTTCCTTTAAAAAGTTACCAGGAAATCCAGTTTTATCCACTGCCTTTAGATATAAAATATCAAATATCTGTCTTTTTAAATGAGAAGTGGTGATGGATATACTTCATTTTTTAATTAAAGGAAGGTATTTCAATTAAGATATGACAGTATGCAGAAGAAACAAGTTTTTAATGGGGTTATCTTGTTTGTTACAACTAGAAATTTGTCAGTCCTTAATACTCACTGCTGAAACATCCAGAATAACAATCAGAAGGAAGTTAATATTCTCCTTTCCTGTGATTGTAATTATAGTTTTAGAAATTTTTAATTGAATACAAAATCCCTTAATTTCAGTATCATTTGGGAAAAGAACATTGTATATCTGCAAGCTAATTGCCATAAAAGGGACCATATTTCACCACTGGGAAATTTAAAACTCCTTTTATCCTGTCTACTTTGGATGTGTCTGTCTGTCAGTAAAGCAGTCTTTTGGAAAACAGCTGAAAACAGAAAAAGAAAGTGTCTACACAAGATACCACGTGCATGCCGCAACCACTCAGCTTTGTTTTAGCTAAATGTCCATTTTACATTGTTTCAGTTCATTTCTTTTTAATCATGAAAACAACTGTGATTACTAAGCTAGAAAAACACAGGTCAGAATAAAAGCTTAAATAAATCATGACTGTTCCTAATAATAGTCAACTAAGTCAGTTAAGAGACTGAATGTCCCTTAGACTCTCCTTTATGAGTGACACTTGTCAGTATATTGAAAGAGCTGTGATGTATTCCTAGTTGGAATGGAGAGATGCTATACTTTTAAAACACAAACAACAATGTAAATCAGTGTTACCCCAATTTAAAAAAAGCTTTATTTATAAGATGATGGCAAACCCTGAGAAAAAGAAGAATATAATGCATATTTAAGCCGTATGTAGGTTGGTTCCCTAGTTCCTAAATTGCAGTTCCAACAAGATATTGCAGGTTGTTTGTATTCAGATTTTATTAAAATGTAGCTTAAGAATATAAGTGAACCCAGTGGATATTATATTTTTGTGCTGATGACTTCTCTTGTAGTTATAATGCTAATTTTCATATACAAATTTTTTTGCACAGTGCACCCTTTGATTTTTTTTATAAACTCATTCAAAAAGTCATTCAAAATACCTAAAAAATATTATATATTCATAGTTTTCTGTCATTTTTGCTTGCTTTAGGGTGCCTCCTTTATAGCCTTATCAGTGCTTAGTGCTAGCACTTAATACTACTGTCAAAATAGTCTTTTTTTTTCCTCTTTCCTCCAGCCAACCTGTTGTAAAATGAAATTAATACACTGCTTGTTTCATTTCTTTAAAAGCTTTGCTCAAAAGAATGTTTCCATGGTGCTGTTAAATAATGTCTCAGACTTCAGTTTAAATCACTAAGTAATTCCCCCATTTTCTTTTTTAAAGTCCAGGAAAATAAAATATTACAAGCTTTTCAAGTTACTTTAGTTTGTTTTAAATATCATCTGGGCAAACCTAGTTTTTGTTGTATTTTTAATGTACATTACTAAAATAATCTTGTAGAATGTGCATTTTTCTAATTTTTCTTCCTAAAATTATTTCCTAAATAATTTGGTATAATCCTTATAATTGAAAAAGTTAAAATAGAGAATTGAAAAGACTTAAATTTTCATCATGTATAATCTGTGGCCTGCCAATAACCCTGATTTTAAAGGTAAACCTTTATAACTTAATTAGGAAAATTATTCCTTCCATAACTAATTGTAATCAGTTTGTATTTATAGGACTTTAGCCAATGCAAACTTTCAAAATATATGTTCCTCATCATTGTCTTCAGTGCTTTTCCAAGTATTTTAAAGTATCAAAGTACATATTTCATATTTCATTATCACTCAGCAGCACAAAATTAATAGCTTTTTAGTTTAGCATACATAGCTGAAACTCAGACATTCATTTCTGTCCTTAATTTCAACATTTAACTCCCATCTGTTCTTCTCCCTTTTTTCTTTCATTTTTCTGTTTCTGTTTTTCCTCATGCTCTGACATAAAAGTGATTGCACTGAAAAGACTGCCCTTTTTGAGGAACAGACCGAAGGATAAAGACAAAATGAAGGCCTGCTACCGTCGTTCCATGTGTAAGACTTTATGACAGTTCAGCTTCTTTCAAATGACTACCCTGGCTTCAATTACTAATTTTTCACTAACCTTTCTCTGGACTGTGCCTGTTTTTCATGTTTTGCAAAGTGCAGTCTTCCTATAATACAAGGAGCTGGAAGAAATTTTTTTTTTTTTTTCAAAATTGGCATTAAATTTGCCTTATATGTATGTTCACTGGCACATATACATGGTCATATGTGTAATATATTTGTAAATTTCCAGTGCTTTCTAAAAGTTGGCAGAAAAAAAAACTTTAATTTTATATGCCAGAGAGATTTTTTCCCCAAAGAAATTTGCTTAAAGAAAATATAACAAAACCTTTAGCATTAGGAATTTATTTCCTTAAATAAACTAGATTAAATAAATAAATAAAATGACCTATAACCCTTGGAAATGTTTGTCATTCTTTATATAATAATATTCTGGGTTTTCTTTTTTTTCTGTTTAAGTAAAATAGATAATTAAATGTATCACTTTGGATATCATCTCTTTCAGGTTTTTATTGAATGGTATACTCATTTAATTCATAGGATAAATAATTTCTTCAGTAACCTGCTCTGACCAAGGACTCTGTCATTTTCAATAATGATGCTGTATAAGAACTGCTCTCCATCTTACCTTTTATTCATTCCATTTTTGTCATCACAAAAGCACATTATGAAGTCTTCTAATTATATTGCATATCACTGCACAAAATGCATGGCAGTTATACAGAGTAAAATTCCTTTTCCTATCTTTAAGGGGGTGGAGGGTACATAAAAATATTTCTTGAAATTTATCAGCCCTTGGCCTGTCCATTTCACTGAGCTGAATGCATGTCATAATTCTAAAATGGCCTTCTGTTTATAGTTTTTGATGTTCACTTGCATTAATCCATAGAAAAAAAAAAAGTTGTGTATAATACAAAAATAGAAATAAGAGCAAGTACATTAACCATGCTGACCCATTTGCTTTCATTTGCATCCCAGCCATGAATGACCTGGTGCAGTCCATGGTCCTAGCAGGAGGACAGTGGACAGGTAGTACTGAGAATTTGGAGGTTCCTGATGATATTGCAACGGGTAAAAGGAGAAAAGAATTGGGAGCTATGGCCTTCTCTACTACAGCTATCAACTTTTCAACTGTCAACTCTTCTACAGGCTTCAGATCCAAGCAGTTGGTTAATAATAAAGGTATAGGCTGTCTGCTATTTGCACTGTTGGCAAAAGAAATTTTAATTTGACTTTCCCATGTCTACTTTTATGACAGCAGAAACCCAAAATAATTATCAAAATAATCAATTTGAGGGGATTTTCCAATCATGACAAAAATTCAAAAACATCATACAAATAACTAAAATCTTTCCTAGGCCACTTGTCATAAATAGCTAATGAACTAACAACAATTGGAAAAGTAAAAAGTGAAAAAGAAAAGTGTGATAGAAGCTTGAAAAAAAAAAACAACAACACTTAAGAACACTATAGCTTGAAACAGAGAAACATGTAGAACAACCAAGGCTCTTGCTTTGCTTTGCAGGGTTACAGGGAAAATTATTTCATTGCTTCTGGTGTTTATCCTAAGTGAGTCAACTCTCATCAAAGCTGTTTTTTTTTTTATTCCTAGTTTCAGTTTCTGGTTGAATCTATGAAATGGATTAAATCAATATATATTATAGTTGTTTGAAAAAGATTTCCATATTCTGCATAAATAAAAATGTGTAATAGTTACTTCTTTTGTTAAAAATGTTTTTATATCCATTTTGCTATTTTATGTAGATACTACATCCTTTGAAGACATAAGTCCACAAGGTATTAGTGATGATTCTAGTACGGGATCAAGAGTTCATGGTAAGAGATAAACCTTATTTGGAAAGTACATATTTCATACAGAATTTGAATGTTAAGACTCTTGCATTGAATTGGTGAATGTGACATTGCCAGTAAGCATGTTTTCTCCAACCTACATCTCATAGCTACCTCCACCATTTCTTCAAACCTAGTGCTCCCTTTTGCGCCTTTAAGATTATTGTTTCATCTAAATAGTCTCTGTTTTAATAAAGGTCATTTATAAAGTATATCTGCACAATGCTTAAATGTAACCTTGTTAACATTTTGCTATGAGGTTAAAATTAAGAGAGATTTTACCACTGGCTTACGAAGTATTTTATAAAGAATACACCACATTTTCTGCATTGTTGAGCATTTCAGAGTTTTAAATTTCTGTGTGGAAAGTCATATCAGGGCCTCCCCTGGTGGGGTAGACAGTTGAGCGCAGCCCTGTGAAGCTGTCTGCAGCCTCTGAAGCGTGAGTTTGATCCCTGCCAGCAAGAATTCCACATGGCGCAGCAGACCTTTCCTGGTGTGCCCACTGCTCCCCTCAGCAGTGTATTTCAGTCTGCCTATTCTGTTCCCCGCTCTGTCTCTGGTGAATCCTCTCACCATCCCGCACATCTGGCCTGTACCCCGGTTCTTGTGTGAATAAATAAATCTTAAAAAAAAAAAGTCATATCGAATTAAATTATTAGCAATAAATGGATAATATGTGAAAGAAATTTCGCATATAAGCACAATTTTAAAAAGTAGTATAGGGCTATGATAACTGGAATTGTTTCCCTTGTACGAATAGATAATACAGGACATTAAATGTGCATATTCCTGTTCATGGCATCTCTGCAATGAACAGTGTTCTCTGTCTGATCTGTTTGTTTTTTTTAAGATTTATTTTTTTTTTATGCATACAAGAACTGGGGTACAGGCCAGAGGTGTGGGAGGTAAGAGGATTCACCAGATACAGAGCTGGGAACAGAACAGGCAGATGTACTGAAGTACACTGCTGAGGGGAGCAGCGGGCGAGACAGGGGAGTTCTGCTGTGCCATGTGGGTTGCTCCCTGGCCTGCTGGGGATCAAACTGATGCTTCAAAAGCTGCGGATAGCTTCATAGTTTTGTGCTTAACCCCGTGCGCCACCAGGGATACCCTGTCTGATCTGTTTTAAGTGACTAAAACAGTCATGGTAATTATGAGCTTTATCTTCCTTTCTTTGAATTTTACTTGTTTCACAAATATGCTCTTGTAACGTGTCTTTACTGAACTATCTGGAAATACTCTTTAATCTATTAGATTCATCACTTTTTGGGCATGCTCAGCTTGTGAAAGTATGCATGATTGCTTCCTCAATGCATTCTGTGATCAGAATGTAAAGTTTAGTGTCATCAACTGGAAATTTTATCAGACTGTCTCCTGATTTTTTCATTTAGCATCAAGACCAGCCAGCCTTGATAGTGGCAGGACATCCACTAGCAATAGCAATAACAATGCTTCACTCCATGAAGTCAAAGGTATGCAGTAGGTAAATTTATCAACATGCTCCATCCATTTTCAGTATTCAAAAGTAAGAGGCTGATGAAGTTTCCAGGGTAAAGTATGAAATCCAGATCATCTGTATTTGGAATATAGTTCCTTGGAATGTTTCTTACTTTTCACATTGTAATACAAATGTATTTCAATGTATACAAATGTAAAAGCAGGAGCAGTTATATTTTGATTTTCTTTTCTCATCTTAACAGATAAAATATTTTTATTGTAATCTTTATGCTTCAAAAATATTCATAGGTCTTTGTTTTATTGAAGTTTTGTCTTTGTCATGAAAGTGGCTGTCTTTTGTGATATATGTACATTGAGTTTACATTACATAAGTGTTTCAAAAATATTTTTTAGCCTGACCCACAGTGTGGCAAAATAGGGATTCTAATAAATGTCTCTTCTAAGTACAACTGAAGAAAAACTGTATTTTGCTCTCAGAAAATTTCACCAGTTCAACAGCAAAAGTGAACTGAAATACACTTCAGTTGTATTTCTCAGGAGGTTGTGACTCCCTGTTGGGGCAGTGCAGTGAAATGGTAAGGGAGTTGTGGAGACAGTTGAAGTTAGACAGTCAGAGCAGTCAGACTAGTAAACCAGGGACCCAGCACAGTTTGTCCGGGCGCACATATCTTGTGCAAGGAATTTTATTCCATGAGTGGGGCATATAGGCCTTGCCTATAAATACTGGGACTGTTAAACTGAGGTATGGAAAATCTGTCTGCATGCAGCATGTGATGGTACAGTCCCTTCTCCCCTCCCAGGTAGGAGTGCTAAAAGAGAAACTGGTGGTGGCAGCAGCCTCTGTTACGCCTCTGAAGACCTATGTCCCTAGCCAAAATCACCAAGCCCAGCACTCCCTTGGCCAGGCCAACAGCAAGCCTTGGGCATCCTATGCCAAAATATGCACCAAGCATCGTGTTCCTTGTGCCAAGGCCCATACCCTGGTATAGGGACGGGAGCAGCAAGGAGGCAGAGTCCTGGAGTTTCAGTTCCTTAAAGCATCAAACAGTGTTTCCTTTACAGAGAAGGTGAAGAAAAGGCAGTGCGGATCATTCTGACTCGATTAACCCTTTCTCCCCACCAGACTGGATAAAGAACCTTAGATTCCAGGATAACCTACCTCCCTTAGCTGCACCAAATTAAAGATAAACATAAGAAAAGACATAGTACCGCAACTAGAAAAAGCAAATATGGCAGCACACATGCGTAGGAGGCACACATGCCTAGGAAAAACTAGAAGAGAAGAAAGGACACAGAATTTGAGGACCTAACAGAAATGAATGTTTTAAAATAATCTTTTTAAGAAAGCACAATAAAGTTCTGGACAACCAGCAAAAACAGGCAGGTACAAGGCCTCAGGAAAGAATCCAAGAACAAAGAGTTCTTAAAAGAGTAAAGATATTTTAAAAAACACAGAAATACTGAATGAAATTAAGACAAATATGGAAAAGTATATTAAATAGACCTATGATTTCAGATGAAAGAATTTTGGAAATTGAAGATATAAATATGTAAAAATGCCTTAAGTAGAATAAGAGTGAGAAATAAGAGTTAAGGAAATTGAAGCTCTATGAGAAACATCAGATTCCATTAGAAGAGGAAATACATGGAAAAAATGGGTGAATGTGAGGAGAAAAGGGAGCAGAAACCCTATTCAAAAAAAATATCAATAGTTGAGAACATCCCAAACCGAAGTAAAGAATTGAATATAGAAGTTTAGGAAACTGAGAGAACACCCAAATTTATAATTGCAAAACTACCTTCACCAGGACATCTCATTGTTAAATCATCAAAAGACAACAATATAAAAAAAAAAAAATTAAAGGCTGCTAGGAAAAAAGGTATGCAGTTTATGAAGGCACATTGATTAGAATGTCTCAGAATTCTCAGCGGATATACTCAGCAAGGAGAGAGTGGTATGAAATACTTACAATTCTAAAGATAAAAACTGTCAGCCAAGAGTGTTTTATCCTACAGTATTATCATTCAAGCATAATGGATAAATAAACTAATGGAATTTACCACTACTGATCTGCCATACAAGAAATATTAAAAGGGGGTGTCCCTGGTGGTGCAAGGAGTTAAGATGCAACCTATGAAGCTGTCTGAAGCCACTGCAGCATGAGTTTAATCGCAGATCTCTCCTGTCTCGCCCACTGCTCCCCTTAGCAGTGTATTTCAGTCTGCCTGCCTGTTCTGTTCCCCACTGTCTCTGGTGAATCCTCTCACCACCACCCCCACACCTCTGGCCAGTACCCTAGTTCTTGTATGCATAAATGAGTAAATCTTTAAAAAAAAAAAATGTTAAAAGGATTTCTTCTAGGTGAAAAGAAAAACACAAAACTTTGAGAAAGATGGTAAGTGTAACATGGAATCAGAAGCTTAAACAAGAATAACAGAGACAACCACAAGACATTAAAAGGGAAGCAGAAAAGAATAGGTTCTGTTTAGTCAAATGTCCTTACCAGCGCCAAGAGGATTATTTTTGATGCAGAAAATATTATAGAAGCCTCATGGTGACCTCAAAACAAAAACGTAGAATGGAGACACTTAGAAAAAGAAATGAAGAAATTGAACCACCAGGAAAAGCCACCCAAAAGAAAGGGCAGACAGAAATGCATGGAAAAACAAACAATATAAAGATAATGGCAGTAATTAAATCCTTCAAAAGGAAGAATGGCAGTAAATAAGTCTCATATATCAGTAATCTGAGTGGTCTGAACTCACCAATTAAAATATAGAATGATAGGATGGATGAAAAGGCATGCCCCAGAAATATTACATGTAGAAGAAATTAATCTTAGATCCAAAGACTCAAAGTGAAAGCCTAGATTAAAGTATTTCAATCCAATAACAGAGAAAAAAGCAGAAACTGCTTTTCTCATATATGATAAATTAGACTTTCAGCCAAAAAAATGGTAATTAGGGACATAGATTTCACTATGTAATGATTAAGGGGGCAGTCCAGTAAAAAGAATTGACTGTCATCATTTACACACTTCCAACACAGGTGCAGCAAAATATATAAAGCAATTACTAAAAGAACTAAGGAAACACATTGACAGCAACATACCACTAATATCAACAGATAGGTCATCCAGACAGAAAGTAAACAAGGAAATAATACTATTAAATGAAACTATAGATCAGATGTATTTAAACATCTACAGAGCTTTTCATCCAAAAGAAATTGAAAACATTCTTCTCAAGTCTACATGCAGCCTTCTCAAGGACAGAGCATATACTGGGACACAAAATATCTCAAGAAATATATCAGAATTGAAATTTTATCAGGCATCTTTTCAGATCACAACACTATAAAGCTAGAAATCAACCACAAAAAGAAAACTTTTATTATTGTGTGAGTAAATGATTTTGAATAACTCCTGAGTCAATGAAGAAATCAAAGGAGAAATAAAAATACCATGTACCACATACTGTGGGATGCTATGAAAACAGTATTAAGAGTGAAGTACATAATAATACAGGCCCACAACAATAAACAAAAACCTCAGTCTAACTTTACATCTGAAAAGAACAACAAACCCAAAAATAGGAAGAAAGGAAATAATTAAAACAATAAAAACTGGAATGGAAATAAATAAAAACCCAAAAGATGATAACAAAATATCCATGTAATGAAGAACTGGTTCTATGAAAATGATAAACTAAATAGATTATCTCACTAAGGAAAGGGAAAAACAGTGAAAAGAACCAGAAATGAAAAAGGCAAAATTATAGCAGATACCTTAGAAACTCGAAGGATCATGAGATACTATGTCCATATACAAACAAAACACCTAGAATAAGTGGGAAATTTTTAAAAGTCATACAACCTGAACTATGATGAAGTGACTCGGACAAACTATTAATAAACACAGAAGATGACACTAAGTAAAAGTTTCCCTGCAAACAAAAGCCCAGATGGTATCACTAGTGTATTCTACCAAACCTTCGAAGATCTAATAACTTCTCAAACTGAATTGAAGAGTAGGGAAGCTCATAAACACACTTCAGAAGGCCAACATTCAGATGCCAAAACCGGTACATAAAAATAAAACGGTATGTCTGATAAACATAGATGTAAAAAACCCTCAACAAAATTTTTGCAAATAAAACCAGTGATACATTAAGACTGTCATTCACTGACAATGAGGACACCAATTTCCTAAATGTATGGGATGCAGCAAAAGCAGTAATAAGAGGAAAATATATAGCAATAGAGGCTCACATCAAGAAACAAGAAAGAACTCAAAGAAACAACCTAATCTCGAAGCTCAAAGATCTAGAAAAATAACAACAAAAAAAAAACCAAAACCAGTAGAAAAAAAGAAATAATAAAAACCAAAGCAGAAATAAATGAAATTGAAACTGAAAAAAAAACAATCCAAAAGATCAATGAAACCAAGAGCTGGTTCTTTGAAAAAATCAATAAAATAGACAAACCCCTAGTCAGGCTCACAAAGGAAAAAAGGGAGAAAGCACAAATAAACAGGATCATAAATGAAAGAGGAGAAATCACAACGGACACAGCAGAAATCAAAAGAATAACATGAACAGTTATATGGAAACAAGTTCAACAATCTAGAGGAGATGGACCAATTCCTACAACTCTACAATCACCCAAAGCTAGATAAAGAAGAAATAGAACACCTAAACCGACCAATTACAAGCAGCGAAATTGAAATGGTAATCAAAAACCTGCCCCAAAACAAAAGCCCAGGACCTGATGGATTTACAAATGAATTCTACCAAACATTCAGAGACGAATTAGTGCCTATCTTTCACAAACTCTTCCAAAAAATTGAGAAAGAAGGGACAATACCAAACACGTCCTATGAAGCCAACATTACACTAATACCAAAACCGAATAAGGACAACACAAAAAAGGAAAACTACAGGCCAATCTCCCTAATGAACACTGATGCAAAAATCCTCAATAAAATTTTAGTTATCAGAATCCAACAATGTATCC